GATGGATTCGCAAGTGACTGACCAGGCCGATGTGTGGAGTGAATGTGCGATCGCAATAAGGACAGGCATGAACCGAGTCCACATCGCTAAAAATGGGAGCGTCGGTGGTGATGGTAGAAGGCGATGAGACATCGGACATCGTCCGATCGGTGGGGGGGGGGTGCTTGAAGTCGTAATGGTGATGCTCGCCGCTGCGGTCAATGTAGAGGGTTGGGAGCAGGGCGGATGTTATCAGTGGTGTTGCGGTGGGACAACGACAATGTGATCGGCGGCAACGAGGATGGCGGTTGGCGCGGGGTTTGCGGCAGGGTCAAGAGTGGATAAAGAGGTAGACGTCAGGCTGATGGCGCGTTGCATCCAAAGGTAGTCACCAAACATCGGCCATTTTATAGATGACCGAATTCATTGCCATTGCACTGCGGATTTGAACAGCGAACCGACTGAAACTATTACTATAAAAGCCGAAGACCAATTTATATGCTCCGGGAAATCTGGCACATGCTGTTTTCCGCACGTCTTAATAACCTAACTGAGCAAGGGTCGGATTCAGGCCCGCCGGCTGACCGTGTGACTGAGGAACAAACGAATATCGGCAAGTAATAGTACTAAACTAAGAAGGCATAACGGGATTACAGAGTGCGGCGACAGTATTTAACCGGTAGATTATGGGTGTCCTGACTGGGCTGTAAACCTTAATTCTTGGATTTGGATGCGCGAAGACCTTATATCACCGGTCGTCATCGTGCGCGAATAGACATGGGACATTTGTTGGACCACTCATTTTTGTCACTGAAAAACTGAGTTTAGGGTAAAATTCTCAGTCTTAACCTGGATAAGCTCCCTCTGGGTGCGGTTTAGGTTGTTGGCCGCCTACATATCTGGGCATTCGCAGGGGCTTTTACTGTTTGCTGCATCTCTGACGATAAACTCGTGCAGGATTTTAAACGCTCAGTTGGTCAAATTCGTGATTTACGACCTAAATCCTCCTCAATTTTTCCACTTTCTTTCTGTCAGTGCCTTTTAAAGGCTGTCTAGGGAACTGTGAACCTCGCATATAAGGGCTCCTGAGATTACATCGTTGCCTCTGAAAAATTTCTGACAGTCTATCTAGTTGTGGTCGATACCTCTCTAGTATAACTTAATCCAGCCTCTTCGCTCCTATCGGCAATTCAGTCGTTGTCAGGCTAATTGAAATCCATCTTTGCGTACACAATCTGTCTTAGCCAGGAAACCTGAGTGTAGTTTGTTTTATAATCGCTTCAGGACAATTAGTCGGTAAGTCTATGAGAGGCAGGAGCGTAAAATTTCTCAGAGAATCAAAAAACGCGAAAAATGTTAGTTTTTAAGCTAGAATCCGTAGAAGAGCAAAATGAAGGATTAGCAGTGGCTTACTCAGGAACAATCTAGAAGTTGGATATGACAAGTGACTTGCAAACTGGCAGCCAACAGCACAGAAAATTTAGTCGCAGGAAGATTTATCGGTTTTTTACACAAGCCGTATCGAAATATTAACCAGAAATTGATTTAACTGATAAAACGTCATTTAATGCGGAGGCAAACACTGGACTGCCCGTATGTGAGAAAGGGGAAAACACAAATAAATCATGAGGGCCATTAAAGCTTGAAACGTCTACTTATTTTGGGATAAGATCAGCGAATTCCGATATGTGCTGTGTCACTGCCTTGATGGCGGACGATCTAAACAGCAGAATTTTGTGATAAGTGCTTCTATGCTCGGTGGTAGTCCACACAATGGCGCACCTCCTTTACTCTCATAGGTCATTGGAACATGTTAAGTGGCTTGTATGTAAAAGATAGGGCGACTTCTCCAGGCGGCCTGTTTTGAAGCTCCACACTATGGTTCGAAAAACCTGTGTGTCTAATTCATGTGCTTACTCGAGGCCTGAATATTAGGCGTAAGGCTACAGCTGCAAACTAATTCGTGGTCCACATAAGACATATTATTAGCTATTTTGCGAGTTTCTACAGGGTCTGTGTGTTGTCGACTCTGCAGTTGTGTGGACACTTGAAGTCTTTTCAATCTTTACTTTGAGTTTGGAGCACGAGCATATCGTGAAAATTTGTTTGTCTGGTTCTGAACGACTATCACGACTGTTATGCCATACAGTCTGAGGCCATGTCGATGTCTCGCTCCAACTGGGAACGAAGACATATATTGCATAATACCCTTATGTTTTGATTAACAAGATACTAAAATGATCTGAGAAAGTAAGATGGGTTGTCTTCGAGCTTTAGCTGGATCTTGTCTAATCAGTTTCAATTATACAACGTTGGCAGAAGTAGTACTTCCGAAGGCCGTGACTGAGTCCCTTCACAGGATAGCCTTGTCATCTAATTCTGTGCACAGAAGCATTTTTGACTACAAGAAAGAATGAGTTATTTGCATCCTTGGTAATATTTCATGATCCAGGCTTCTCTGGAACTCGAACAAGGTGTTTCTAAATAAGCAATTGGTTGGGTGTTTTGTCCAGAGTTTTTATGCTATCCACAACTGCTAAGCAGCTGTTTGAAGCCATGTACGGTGAGTCGCTAATATAGATAGACAGGAATAATAACTCTAAAACAGACCACTTCAGAGCATATTGTTGTGAGGAACTCATGTGATGCAATCGATCGAATAAGTGCGCGGAGGATTCTGTGAATTATATCAGCTCCACGCCAGTCGATTTCGTTTATAGGTAGACCATGTGTATAAAGCTTCCCGAAGTGAAATCGACGCCTGACTACGTCGCAGACTATGCTGATATTTATAAATACATGCTGGCCAACTTCCTGAGTAGCTGCATTCTAACTCGGGATCATCGTTTAAGGTGTAGGAAACCATGTCAACTGGCTTCGAAGAAATAGCACAGACGATCTTACATGACCTTTTCCTTCATTGGTCACTGAACTGTTAAATGAAGTCAGCCAGCGAGTAAAAAGGGCTCGCGTCATGTTTCCAAGTATGTCGTCTTCTCTAGAACTAGTGTTAAGCCACATCCATGTTGTGAAGGAAATAGGGAGACTCTACATTTCAGGAATGCTGTGTGTCGATTTTTCGATCCTGACGCTTATTTGTGTCCAAACACCTTCAGTGCCAAACCTTTCGTCTGGAAAACTCCGTCTCAAATGTATGTATGTATAAATTTGGAGGGTTAGAGGCAGAGCTCTTGATGACCCTATTTATGTAAAGTGTTTTCTCAGATTCGCATTCAAAAATAAAATTGCAGGCATCTACAATGTGATCAGGTCCGAGTTCAATCGTAATCATAAGAAAGTGCATCAGTTCACTGTAAATTAGTGCGGAGGAATTGTATATGATAGTGTTTTACAGAATTGGCTATGGGTAGTCATGCTGTAAAAGCCGATTTCTGTCGAAAATTAGGCGAGCAAATTTTCTTTTAAACATGAAAATTTTGTCGGCTATCACCATGTTTGGAAGCGAGTTCCACGGTCGGACAGGCCGTTGGCTGAATAAAAAATCCCCTGCCAGCACCAGCGCCTCCCCCAAGCTCCGCCTAGCCCCCTCAAAAATAGCAGGGCTAGAGGGGGCTATGGCGGGCTGTGGAAGGGGATGTGGCGGGGCGTTCTACGCGACAGCCCCGCCTGGCCCCACCAGCGAAATAAAATTCACAGGGACGCGGGAACAGCAGAGGATCAAATTCATTAGTGCAAAGTGGCCATTTGGTGAGGAGACCAACTAGCCTTTGGGCCTGACCAACCTATA